TCGATGGTTGAGATTTCCTACCCAGGTTCTTGGGTCATATGGTTTTGATCAGAAGTCTCTCTCCATCTTGGAGTATTTTACATAGATACGGATGTATCATTATCGTCAAATTGATAGTGTTAATGAGACAATGCAAATTGGCTGGATGGGGTTATGTATAATTATTAGCCTGCTAATGGCCAAATTTCAGTACCGTGGAATTCCAAAATTAATGCCCCCCTTGAAAGTAACAGTGCCCCGAAAGTAACATTAATTTTTTAACTTCCTATTGAACCCCGAAAGTAATGGTCCCCTTGAAAGTAATGGCCCATCTGAAAGAAGTGGCCCTTTGAAGAAGTCACTAAAAGAGAAACTCTCTGTTTTTAAGCGCAATGAGGATGGAAAAGCCTGACTACAGAACTGAACAACTTGAAGAGTTATTTCTGATTTTATTTCGAACTTAAGTGAATTTTTCTTGAAACTATGATTTATAAGCTGTAATGGTCTAGATAGCAGCAGAGTCAAATGATATACTGTAGTGTAATCAGCTGTGTTGTCACTTGTGATATAATGCAACTATTATACTTTTGGCCTACAGTTTAGGGTATTTTTTTGTGTATACAGTTTGCTTTGTTTAGGTGGGTAGTTAGTAAAGCATACATAAATGGAATTTTTAATTTCATGTGTTCTGCGTCCGCTTTGCCTGAAAGGATTGTTATCGTACAAACTATTGTAACCATCCGAAAGTGACGGCTACCTGAACGTAATGGCTACCCGGAAGTAATGGCCCCTTTTGCCTGCTAAATCTGAAAGTAACGGGGGCCGTTACTCTCAGAATTCTATGATAGTAGAGACAAAGGCCGTTACTCTTGGAATTCTATGGTAGTAGAGATAAAGACATCAATAAGTCATCACAAAGCACTTGACAGACCCAAGTGGTCAAGTTTCCATAGCACTAGATGACTAGACTTATCAGGGTTGTCAAAACTAGCCAACAGGTGAGAAAAAGCGCTATCTATCCATGATCTTGGCCAGCTACTATATAATACATGTAAGTCATATTCTCGCACTTTGATTGGTTCTTAATAATGATCTTTTGGAGGACAGACACATTGATGATATCATTTACATTCTCTTTTGTTTCTTTATTACATAAAACAAGTAGATTCCATGTTGTTATGTGTCTGTTCAGTAATAGATCACTTGTAAAAGATGTCAAAATGTGGTAAGAAAATCAGTGACACACTTGGCTATTGCCTCATGTGCCACTTTTTTGTTCTTACCACATTTTGATGTCATCTATGATCTATTACTGAACAGATGTATGGCAACATGGAATCTATTAGTTAAATTCGTCGCAAAATCAGCCACCTACTCCAGCAATAAAGTTTGCTATTTATTGTTACTTTTAGGGATAGCAGGCAGAG